TAGACCGCCGGAGGGCCTGGACGTCCCTAAGGGATATGCATGCAAGCTTCAGAAGGCACTTTATGGGACAAAACAGGCTGCCCGTTGCTGGTGGAAACACCTACAAAAGAAATTGAAAGATCTTGGCTATACACCGAGCCAATTTGATTCTTCTCTTTACATCCTGCAGCATACAGATCATCGAGGCGCGATATGGGTACACGTTGACGATGGAGTAGTCACGGGATCTAATGATGCAATTCTTCGGCAGCTAGAGGCGGGATTGAAGGACTGTCTGGAGATAAAATGGCAACAGGGTGTGGAGACTATCGTGGGGGTAGAAGTTGATAGAGCTGAAGGCAAGTTTACCCTCCGTCAGAAGAAGCTGATTGATAAGATCCTAGAAGAACATTGGGATAAGAGCTCGACGGCTAAGACCCCACTCCCATCGGGGTTCACATCGACTACAGACGGACCTTCAGAAGGAGACCCCTCTACATCCACTAACTATTTGTCTTTGGTAGGGAGTCTGAGCTATTTAGCGGTTGGCACGAGACCGGATATAGCCTATGCCGTCAACTATATGGCTCGGTTCAGTGCCAATCCAAGTCCTATTCACTGGAAGGCACTGCGACAAATTGTTAATTACCTTGCTAACACACGTGATAGATTACTTCATATAGCGCCTAAGGACTCAGCGGAACCGCTCAAATGTTACAGCGATGCCGGATGGGGCGGGGAACATCAACGGTCTTCTTATGGCATTTTCCTATCATTCTATGGTGCCCCAATCCTCTGGATAGCGAGGCGTCTTCACACAGTGGCAGCGTCAACGTGCCACGCAGAATACATGGCACTAGGAATGGCGACGAGACAACTGCTCTGGGTCCAACAACTGATAGAAGACATACTAGGACATCAGTTCAAAGGTTTGTTACTTTGTGACAATGAGGCAGCAATTAAAGTAGGAAAAGATGACAGCTCAAACAAAAGGACTCGACATACAGAGCGGGAGTACTACATCACTAACCAAGCCTTATTTGAAGAAAAAGCCAGCCTGTCGTGGGTACCCACAGACAAACAACTTGCGGACATCCTGACTAAAGCTATGACCCCGGAAAAACATGGGTTATTAGCGGACAAAGTCCTAGGATACATGGATGCATCCGCCTAGTCGACAGGGGGGGTGTTAGGACATAGGTATGCTTATACCGAGTCCTGTGAGAGTTGACTGCGGCGAAGCCTGTATCTAGCATATATATAGTTTTCTCTCTCTCTCTTTGCAATGAACTCAAGCTCTCTAGCGATCATATCATAACATAAAGAACACATCCCGTGACACTTCGCTCCGGGCCTCGGCAAGCAGAACCTGCCGCACTACGACCCTACAGCCTGCCGCCATCTGCATACATTGATGATGGTGATGAAGATCGTGCAGGCTTTCAATTATTCCACCTCGTGGGGCAAAAAAGCCGGTTCGATGGATCTGATGATGAGTACAACATAAATAATTAGCGGCCTCCTCTTTGTTGAAAGCCATCAACCGGTCGGTGCATGATGCATGGTGCCCCTGAGATGTTTGTGATAAAAAGTCGCGGCGCCTGTTATATGATAGGGTGTTGCATTCTGGATCCTCCGCGGCCATGATCCCCCGAAACCATTCCTTGAATTGTTACACTGCCAAGCACTCGCGAAGCTTGTCTGCCGCAAGCCGGCCAGCCAATAAGAGACTTGTACATACTGCCCCGTCTGCGGCCAACAGAACCCAAAAAAAAAACAACGAGAGGAAGCTGGGGACCGGATCAAAACCTGATCACAAGCTCGCGTGTCTGCAACCAATTAAGTCATGAGGCGATGTCGGCCCGTCCAGAACACGATCCATCATCGTCTGACAAGCAGGACATCAGTAGCAGCAGCAGCAGCAGCGGGAGAGAGAACCACTACAGCTGAGTCGCGCCGTCCTCGACTAGCCGTCCATCAGTCTCTCTCTTTCTCTCTGACCCGCTTTCCACGCCGGGCTCGCGGCTGCAATCGTGCCGGCCACCACTCCCGACCTTTCCTGTCCCTTCATGCATCCTACATATAGCACAGATTGGTGGACAAGCTCTCTCTCTCTCTCTCGGCCACGACCCATCACCCCCAAAAAAACCCCCCGGGAGTCCTCTGGTCCAGTATTACTGCATGTGCCCACTAACTTGCAAGGACTACATAGCTCGCAGACAGCTCACACTCGTCGTCGGCTTTCAAGATCAGCTTGTGAGTTGGACGTCGCCGACCGAGTCCGGGTTGTTTATCAGGATATCTTGTGGCGGAGAATGCACAAATTAAAAGGCCATTCAAAGACGCCCCCCATCGGGCCATACAAGTTAAACTAGAGGAACTCGACGGAGCGGTCCACTGTTCGACCCAAGAAGGGTTGTGTTAATATTAACCGTGCATTAATAAGACGGCCGGAGTCGCGTCGGCGTGTACATACTCGTCGACGTCGGCGTCGGTGCGCTCTCGGCGTGCGGGGAGATGCTTTTGATCATGGGGCCCTCCTGTTGTACTGGAGCTCATACATTATACCGGTCAAGTAGTACACTCCCTTTCCACTGGAAACGATCAAGAATAGTTATGTATAATGTTCAGGTTATAAGATTCTTGACGGGCTGTGAAGACATATAACAAAATCACGAAGAGGGAATCGATCTCTCTCTGTGTGTGTGTGTCCGAAGGGCTTGATCTTATAACCGCGGATTCGCCAGCCGCGCTGCTGGTTCTCTCTCTCTCTCGACTGCCCACCCGGGGGCCATACTTTCCTTCCTTCCTTCCTTCTGCAAGCTCCGGCCTCCACTTCCACTTGATCCCCGGGCCTCCGAGTCCCAATAATCCACATCCTGGCCCACCTCGATCTGATCAGCTTCTTCTTCCACTCAACATTGCTTGCCTGTATCCACCACTCTTTCCTTTTTTTGGGGGGCGTGTTTCCGGACACATACACGTCGGCATAAGCTATGAAATATGTGCAGATCAGAAAGGGTACTGTTGCTGTGTCCCCCCCCCTCCCCCCCCCCCCCCCTGGATCCGCACTCGCTGTTGTTGATGGTGATGATCGTGATGGCCCCTTATGATCTTCTTCCCTCATCATGCGCATGACCCTTTCTTCGTACTCGTCTAGTATTTTGTACATGAGCGAAACGAGCGTTTTTTTTATTATTTTTTGGCAACACATCGGAGTTTATATTTGTTGTTTTTCAGTGCAAGATCACAATTACACGTGGGTGGGCCACACCTACATACACATAAGCTGCACGATCACATTTTTTTTTGTTCTTTTTGTCTCTTGGGTTTGTATTTTGTAAAAGAAGTCGACTGCAAAGTGAAGTGAAGTGGTTGTTGGATTGTTAAGGACGCATACAAGCACTGCAAGGAATATTTACATGCAAGACCAACAACAACAGCAGCTCGAGCAGGTGATGATCGGCCTTTGAGGTCGATGATCGATATGAGGACACCCGAAAAAAAAACATACATTCGTCGTCGTCGTTGGTGAGATGCTATCAAAACAACACACGCAAAAAAAAGGAAAGGAAAGAAAATGAGTGATCGAAGCGGCCGACCGAACGGCCTTATAAATATGAAGTGTTTCTCTTCCTTGAAATATAGCTTTCATGCACCGTTTTTCGTCGAATTTCCGATCGAGGAATCCGCAGCAGCAGCTCGAAATCCGGATACTCATTCATGAACTCCTCACTCTTTTTTTTTGGGAGGGTATAATATGTATAAACTGGTCGAAGTCGGTTGGACTACATAAAGGAGTCATCACTGTTTTTTTTACAAGTCTTTCTTTGTTGTGTGGTTCTTCCGAAATCGAAATGTTCCTTATATAAATTTCCTCCTTGAATAATAAGTAAACTTATTACTTCGTTTCGAGCTCACACAAGCCCTTATTTTTTTTTTGGGGGGGGGATGCTCCTAACAAGCAAGCAGACACCTAATATAAGTGACACACTCTTTTTTGAACTCCCTACAACAACAACAACAACCAAAAAAAAAAAAAAAGGGCAACCAGCAATGTTGTGCTACAAGACGAGGAGAGAACCCCCTGAGAAGGAAGCAGAGTAGAGATCAGAGAGAACAACTCGCCGCGAGAATCTCCCCGAGTACATAGTCAGAGTAGTATAAGTTGTTTGTTTTCGTAGAAATCTGAAGCGTTGGTGTTGGAGGCTCGAGAGAGCCAGGCATGAATAGGCTTATAGGTGGATGATGAGGATGAAGGGAAGAAAGGGTAGAAGAAAAGGGGGATCCCATCAAATAAGGAACACTCTCTCATTCATCTGATTCTGTGCCTTCATCAATCCATCCCCCCCCCATCCTTCCCTCTCTCTCTCTCTTTCTCTCTCTGAATAAAAACTCCTGCTCCTGCTCCCGCCCCTGCCCTTGTCCTTCACATCATGCCAGATCACTCCATCTGTTCATATTGATCGACTCCATAAAAAAAAAAACAACACACACCCAATATCTTATAACAACCTGCTTATATTATTACCCCTTCGCTTCCCATTCCAATTTTAATTCGTTATCTCTTCTCCCCCGATCACCAACAAAACTCATCCCTTCCTTCGTCATTAAGCTCCTACAGTACTGCCCCCCCCCCCCTGCTTACCCAATAATTTGTATCTTCTTCTTCTGTGCGCTCGCCTCCAACTCGCCGACGCAGCTGTCCCAAGAGTGGGCTCCCTCTCTCTGTGTGGATGTGTTTATACTTTGTTGAGAGCGAATCAAAACCAGACGACGCTTGGTCAGTGGATTCGTCCCCATCACAGTCAGCTTCTTCTTCTTCTTCTTCTCCCTCGCCGCTTCACAATGAAGTTTGAACTGACTCTTCTCTTTTTATTTGTTTCTCTGTTGACCGTTTGGTAATTAGATTCCTTCGACATACTCAAATCATCGATCCTTTCTCTCTTTCTTATCTCAAGATATAAATCAAAGTAAATAGGCATCCCATCCAAACAGACAAACAAAACAAGCAAAAAACCATGCCATTGTATTATACGCACACCAACACCAATCCAACAGCAACAACCAGATGGACGACAGAAGGCAAGGAAGCCCCAGAGGAAGAGCCAGTCGTGGCTGGGATCCAGAATGGCACGACAGGGGAAGACCAACAACAACAGATCCAATCAGTCGAGCCCACTCTGACTCCATCCCCAGTCTCCTCCTCCACCACCACCACCGAACAACAACAACCCCTGCTTCCCTTCTCCCTCGCCTCACGCTTCCAACTGCTCGAACAGCCCCAGCATTCCAATCTCATCCTCCATCCTTCGGCTTCCGAAAGACCTGCTTCCGCTGCCTTCGATTCTCTCGACCCTCACAATCATCATCATCTTCATCATCATGCTCCAACCACTTCCCTCCTCAATAACCATCTCAATCATCCCCAATTCCCTATCCCTTTCAGCCATTCTAATCAGTCAGGACTCGCGACTGATCGGATGCGCTCCTTGGATATCCTCGATCATCATCATCATCATCATCATCATCCTCATTCTCTGGCTGCTGCTGCTGCTGGAGATCAAGCGACCTCTAACTTCATCCCCCGGGAATATCCAGGAAGCTTCAATCGGCGCGCCGAAGATGAAGAACAAGAAGAGGAGGATGAAGAAGGAGGTGGGATGGGGATGATGGAAGGAGGCCGAGGCGGGAAGCCAGAGGCCGAAGCCGAGGAAAAAGAGTCGTCGATCCCAAAAAACAAGTCGATGATCCCGGCGATCTCGATCCGCGGCGGCCTGCGGATCCACCGGCCCATCCAGCCCATCGAAGGCCCCCCGCCTCCAGTGCTCCATAAGACTAAGGGGCCCTGGCATAAGGACGAGGACGCGGCATTGCTCTATTGGGTCAGTCATCTCGGAACCGGAAAGTGGGTGGATATCGCTAAACGCGTCGGTAGTCGGTCCGGCAAACAGTGTAGGGAACGCTGGACTAATCAACTCTCTCCTGAGAGTATGTCTTCTTCTTTTCCTGTCTTTCAAGGTTTATTTTCAAAAAAAAGAAGCCGTTTTTAAGACTTAAACTTTGAATATTCTTCTTTTTCTTTTGGGAATTGCGGTTGTGTTTTTTAGTTGATCATTCTGCGTTTCGACATGATGAAGATATGGTGATCATAACCATGCAACAAAGCCTACAAGCCAACAGATGGTGTGAGGTAGCCAAACATCTTCCAGGCAGGCCGGAGAATGCCATCAAGTGGGTTTGACTCTGAGAAAGAACAATATAAAAAAAAACCTTAATTATCCCGAAAAGAGACTGAATTTGGATGGATTGACAGGAATAGATGGAATTCGAGGGATCTCCAACGCAAGCGGAACGAGCTTCTGAGTTCATCGGTCGTCAATCCGTTTGCATTCATGCTCGGAAGCGGCCATCCTCACCCATCGGCGACACCGGGCCGGAGTCCTGTATCGACCCTGTACAACGGCCACCATCTCAGTCTGGGTAGCCCGATCAAACGCGCCCGCGGAGGATCGGCCGATCATCTCCAGCCGAGCTCGATCGACCAGCTCCATCATCGGCTCGGCTTGCCGTACCAATCCCCTCGAAACAATACCAACACTGCGCATCAGCCCAAGAAACATCGGCCAATCATCCAGCCCGGTTCGTCGGCAACCGGCCATCATCGAAACCTTAATCTCCTCGACCTCTCCTCCTCTGCCTCCTCCGATTCCTCCTCCTCCCCTACTGCTAAGCTACAGAGCCCATTCAACAGCTGCCATCCTGAGAACGAGAACCACCACCAGCAACAACAGCTCGTCACTCCGAATAACCTCCTCGGCCAAGTCGTCCAACTCAACACTCTCATCAATAGTAGTAATCCCAGTCAAGCTGCTGAAAACCAAGAATGGAATACTTACCGGCCTCCGACCGGTAACACCCCTCCTAGCACTTCCACCACCACCTCATCTAATCCTTCTTCTCGACTACTGCGTCAGTCTACCGGCAACCCTGCCGGTTGTTCTCAGCCGGCCTTAGCACAATACTACTCGACGCCGATCCACTCACCTACCTATCTCTTACCGGACTGTTCGAGCGCCAACAGTCTTTCTTCTACGAGTGATTCTTCTGGTGATCCTCATCATCATCCTCATCCTCATTATCATCGTGCCCAACACCATCAACACCAACAATCGCTGGCCTATAATGCTGCGTCGGGCTCGAACGAAGATCATCTGAATCTGCTCACGCCCGTCCATCATCCTTCGTCTGGCCTCGGCGCACGAATCCATACATTCCCTCAACATCTCTTCCTCCCTCATGGGCTCCCCGATCCTCCTCATCCTAATGATGAAGACGATCATCCTCCACCACCACCACCATCATCATCTTCTTCTTCTCATCTGAAATCGTCGGGGCCGCATCTGGACGAGAACAACAACAACACCAATCCTCTGTTTTATCCCAGTTATCCGCACCATCATCTCAAGCCGCCAACCACCGCCGAGTTCTTCGACCCTCCTCCCAATCTCCTTCATCTCCCGTTCAATCACTCCCCTCTCGACTTGATCCAGCATCATCATCCCCACCACCATCATCATCTTCCTTTATCAGATCATCAGCATCAGCAAGATCATCCGTTCGACCATTCTCTCTTCCTCTCAGACCATCTGCTCCTGCCGCTCTCTCATCCGTCTCGGGCCCACACATTCGTTCCTCCGTCGATTCTTGACCATCAATCTGGGCTCACAGCCGATCGGCAGCGGCCTTCTTCTGGTGATCCCGATCTTCTGGAGATGGATCGGAGTGGGAGGGGTGGGGTGCAGCCGGGCGGTCTGGGTGGGGAGGTCGGAGCAGTTGGGAGGGAGGGGGAGAGGGAGGGGGAGGGGGAGGGGGAAGGGGATGGGGAGGGGGAGGCGGATGGGGAGGGGGAGTCGTGGGGTGAGGGCGATCGCAAGGGCCGGCTCAATCAGAATCAGAATCACAGTCAGAATCAGAATCAGAATCAGAATCAGAGTCAGAATCAGAATCAGGATCAGAATCAGAATCAGAATCAGAATCAGAATTGCAGTCAGAATCGCAGTCAGAATTGCAGTCAGAATCAGAATCAGAATCAACATCATCATCAACAGCATCATCAACATCATAGTCATGATCAGGAGATCAAGTCAAGAGAGTGTTGATCCTACACTTTGAAAAGACCAAGAGAAAAACTCCAAAAAAAAAACCCCTCAAAGAGTACAAGAGAAAGATATAAGGAACATACTAGATGGTGTAATGGTATATTTAATATAGGTCGTTGATCTCTTTTTTTGTTCACTTGTTTTTTTGTGGTCACTTGTTTTTTTGTGGTCACTTTTTTTTGGTTGGTTGGTTGGTTGGTTGGTGAGGAATAGTGGCAATGATGTGGATGGGGTTTATGGTTGGAGGTATAAGGTTTGGGAGTTCAAGGTACTGCACATAGCTAGCATCAATCTTTTTTTGGGATTTTTGAAAATTCTCATTGTTCTCTCTCTTTATGTATGTATTCACTTTTTTATTTGAGAGATTATAGAAAATGTTTTTATTTTGGTTGAGAGTGAGATAGATGAATTGGAACAAGTGCTTGACTGGACGACTTCCTGTTGGGATTCACAACCCTTGCAGAATTGGATTGACGCCATGAAGGTCTTAATTTTTGGCAAAACCAATCTTTCGTCAGAAGCCAGCTTGTAGTGGCGGACTTCCTGATGGATCTGGGAGCCTTGTAGAGGCTGCTCTGGACCCCAAAAGGTCTTAATTCTTGCAGGGGTGAAATTTGAGTTTTGTGGCTCTGGGAGACCGGCAGATGTTGAGGGGAAGTGGTCCAGTGAAGGCCCCCATGTGAGCTAGTTGTGCTTGTGTGATTAGAGTGTTGATTCAGAACTGAGAGAGGTCTCAAAAACATCCTAAATCCCAGCAGCAGGAAGTCCTCCACTGGTCTTATATAACTCATTCACATTTTTTGTTTTGTTTTTGTTTTTGAGATTATACTAGAAAACCTGTAGTTTTCAGTGGCACTACCAAAGTGGAAGGATTGAGAGAATAGCAGCTATGGCTTGCTTTCTTGGATCAGGGCGTTGGTTTGAAGAAGAAATGAGGAGAAAGTTGGGAGAGACAGGGAAGAGGAAGATGCAGGAAGATGGTAGCTTAACTTATGAGAAGTGACTTGATAATGATACCAATGAGACTGCGTACATGGTGGGAAAGGTAGGAAAAGAGTCGTGCTTCTGCTTGATCTGGGTCTGGTTGTTGCTGTTCTGTGTTGGTCTGGAGTCTGAAAATCCTCGGGAAGCGGAATCACAAATCTCAGAGAGGATTTTCAGAGTTGGATTACATAATAATTGTATGTACATACATGTGGTAGAAGAAGCTGAAGCTCAAGGTGCATGGATAAAAGTACTCTGAAATATTACAAATTTAGTGAAGGATTGGAGTAGTGTAAAAGTGATCAGTAATGACTAGGGTTAATTTTACACCAGGAATCCATTTGTGAAGTCAGAACAGCTAAAATCCTGAAGGTAAAAAAGATACGATAATATTTGGAATGGACGTGGGGGATTTAGGCAGCCTTTTGGGCAGCTTGGCTGGCTCTAAGACTGACAGAGGTGGTTTATTGAGGAGGATGCGGAGCTCTGTTGGAGGAAAATGTGGTGGATGCATGACAAATAGGTAATACACAGTAGAGGATACAGGCGGTTGAGTGACTGAAGCTACCACAGTCTCCAAAGAAGGAGGATCGGCAAATTCTTCATGATAAGTTTTTTTTTATCAAGCCTCTAGTCATGTGCAGATAGTCAGCTGGATACCCATATGACCATGGGAAAACCTAATCGGGAAATCTCTGGCTTTGATTCCACCAATCTATCCAAATTGAAGACATTGGAAATCAGGATGGTGTTGGTCCTTGTGGTTGCTATCTGATGAGACAACTATGCTCAGCAGAGGGACTGGATTTGGAATCGGTTGAGCTTGGGGTATTGAGATTGGAATTGCTACTTGTTGCTGCTGTTTTTTGTTGTTAGTAGTAGTATGATAATTTCTTGATATTGTGGGGCAACAGACTGCATAGAGGTGAGACAGACTTGATAGGCCATCCTGAGTCAATACTGGGAGAATTTGGTTCCTTTTCTTTTTTCAGAGTCCAATGAATAGTCCTGAGCAAAGTGTGTAAAGTCTTCCTTGGAACAAAACTTGAATTGTTCTGGTTGACCTACTCAAGGGTGTCAGCTGAGATAGAATTGCTGAAAAGACTGATGGATATTTATGAGATCCTCAATTTGACATCCACCTGACCCAGCCACAAGAACTGATTCAAGTCCTCAATGTCCAAGCTACCTTTCACAGCCAACAAGGCTGCAGACATCTGATATCTCTTTGGAGAAACCTTGGATCATGAAACACCACATGTTTCATGGGTTTATTATTTTTATTTTTTGATTCAAATTAAGGCCGAAATGCATAAGTATTCTGGGGGAAAAAGGAGACCCAATTTGCTACATACAGCTATTTCGGAAAGGGTTGTCCACTTGGACTCTCGAATTCTTTTTTATTTTTTTATTTTTTATTTTTTTACTGAACTAGACCTGTCAGAACTGAACTACTGATGACAGCTGTACCTCCTTGGCTGTAGTTCAGTACAAAGAAAAATTTAAAAATTTTCAAAAAAAAAAAAAAAATTGCGAGATAACTGGACAACCCTTTCCAAAATAGCTGTATCTGGTCAGTTACATGAGAATCATTTTCAAAAAAAAGACAAAAAAGAACTCTTTTGTTAGTTGGTACATAGGTTGGCTTGGTTGGGGCTTGAAGGGGCCCTCTCAGCATCCCTAATTCTGGAGGCCAAAAATTCCCACCCGTGTCTGAGGGATTCAGGTATGGTTTACCAAGTTCATGTTTTGGCAACCATACACTTCATATACACCTCAATTTCCCTGGAATACATACCTGGAAAAACTCACCTTCAATACTTTCTCAAAACACACAGTCCCTGATAGATATCTCTAACCCTAAACCTAACCCAAAGAGTGATGGCCAAGAAGAAAATATTGTTATCCCTGACATGTGTTGGAAATCACAGGTATTCTAAGGTACATGAAAGTGTTACGGCTTCCATGTCCTTGGACAGCTGTAGTTTTGTTATCTGTAAACCATCATACCAGATTAGTCCCTCTCCGATAGGTGAAAAAAGTCTTGTGGGCCACCGAAGTTGGTCCCAGGTTTCCCATCAGCTGGACTGCTGGGGATGCTCTAAAACAAGCAGTTGACCAGACAAACAGCTATAAACATATGCTGAGATGGAACGAGTATATGGAAAAAGGGACATTGTAACTTGCACATTACTACTGAATTGGATAATGAGATTCAAAAGGCACCAAATCTTATTGATGGAAAATTTGAAATAAGAAACAATTACACAGATGAGGAAAACAAAGTGACTGTGACCTGTGACTGTGAGCAGAATTCTGGCATTCGGGCAAAAGTCAAAGGTATTCTTTCTTGCCAAGAAGTCAAGTAAACCTTGAGGCTTGAAGCTGCAAAGAGCACGTGGTGTTTTCATTTTGCACCTTCGGCAGTGCACTGAGTGTAGCGGACTTGACAGCTCACTGCGAGGCTATGTATAAAGGGGACAAAGGAGTCTTGTCAGTGCCTGCACGCAGAACAAATCGGAGATTGCACAATGATTCGGGCGTGTTGGTTGGGTGAGATCGACGAGGCCCAACCAGGATGGCACCATTGTTTTGTTGTCAAGGACCTGAATTGCCATCATGATGTATGTACGCTCAGTGAGCACCGTTTTTCGCATACAATTCAGGAGCCGAGCAAGGAATCCAGCTGGCTTGAGCATCAGCTGCACAGTAGGCTTGTCACGCACTCTACTCCAACAAGTCCAGATTGAACACCAAAAAATCAGCTTCAAAAATGCTTCGAATAGAAGCCCAGCCATTCATCAAGGGCATCAAAGGCATCATCCCCCTTATACCCGAAAAGTAAAATGGTTTCTTGTGGACATTGTTGGGCCCTTGTTCACGTTGTTCAGATCACTCAAACAGTCAACCGCTGAAATTGAGTGTGCATACCATAGAATGGCCAACGGGTGACTGAGCAGTCTGCGAGCATTAGAAGGGACGATGATGCCTTTGTCCAGACTATACACCGCTGGGCTTTGAACCAATGCCTCTGAGGGAAAGAACGCAGGTCGATTTAGTCCTGGTAGATATAAATGGCCTTCTCGTCCTAAGGAGCTCTTTCAGTTCCATCATCATCAACTCTTCACCACCCCAACATCCTTTGCCAATCAAATAGTCCCCCTTTCAATCAAATTTTACTTTCTCTGGGCTGGTTTCCCTCAAGTTTTCATCACATTTCTTGCCCCACCAATCATCATCTTGGTCCGAGTCCCTCGCCCGAATAACAGAAGATCGTATAACCTACTGAAATCATGCCTGCAAGAATCCTTGTCCTAGTAACTGTCCGACCAGGCAGAGATCACGGAAACTACCTAGACATACGTATCATTATAACGTCGCCTACGAACCCGGGCGAAATGATAGTATATCGGCTCTCGGCCGAGCTGATGGGGTACCGGATCTTGGGCGAGTTAAGGAATCGATTGCGTCCGATCCAAGGACGACAGCCCAGAGCAAGCATCGGTATCAAGTCTGCCTCGGTTCCTAGACGCATCGATTACAACTCGCATGAGGTGGCGAGGCTCGTTCGTGATACTCGGAGCTTTTTACAGCGCATCCGACAACTCGATTCGTCCACGAGGTTAGCTCTTTCCCATCGGACCTCGGCTAGGGATCTTCCGGATCATCTTCCCCGAAAAAGGCACAATTTAGAATCAACTTCGAGACATAATCAGTTGAGCTTGGTGAAACCATCACCGCTCGACCATACTTTGGATTGTGTCCCATACTTTTTTCTGTTCATCTCTGTCCTTTGTGTCTGCTTGCAGTTGTCGCAGAAAATGGCTTTCTTGATTATGGTCTTCTTTGCTCTTATCAACATTGTCTCGTAACCTGTTACTACACTCACGTCATGTCATGTGCGATCTTGCACTTCAGCTTTACTAATTTAGCCTTTCAATGGGAAACCGTGTGGAATGCCTGCAGTCAGCATGGGGTGCAATTTGTGACCCCACTGTGTTTGTTTAAAGAAATCCACTATGTCCCTAATTTTAATGTTGTGTTTGAGAACATATCACTGTGGGAGGTTAAAAGTAAGCGTGATTGCCGAAGAAGAATTTAGAAGCTATTAGATAAAAATGAATGAAGCATGTTGATGAGGAGCACTCAGACCAGGAAGGGAAGGAAATTAGCTGAGTTATGTGGAAGAGAAGTTGAGAGAAAACAATACAAAAATGTGATTTGAGAAGTTGACATGAAGACAAATTCATGCTCCACTTGAACTGGTAGAAATCAGATTGGTTAGAAGAACTTACATATTAATCCCAGACCCAAACAAAATAGATCAGAGATATTAAGAATTGAAGTTCATGTTGGAATTCCTGCCTCATTCCACTCATCCCCTAAATCCCACTGTTTTTGTTTTCATCAACTTGAATTTCATTGATGAAGTACATGACCAGCTGAACTAGCTTAATTTAGAGACTTTTCAAGCCACGGATTCTTTTCAGTCAAATCCCTGTTGTAGAATTTGCACCCTGTAGGTGATTTCACTCCTCAAAACTCCACAGATCTTCTTTTTCTAGGCCATCTCTTTCCATAAAGATATTTTCATATCCAATCTTGTTTCCATTCTTAATTATCAACAAGTTGATCTGCTGGTGCATAGTCCATTTATACTAGCCTATTTGCAGACCATTCACCTCATTAAGGTTCCCCTCTGAAGAATTTTCGACTATATTTCTGATAAACCAAAACCAGACTGAAAAAGAACAACCAAGATTAGACAAGAAAGAAATCAGACAAGACAAATAAGAAGAGATAAGAAATAGAAGCATACCAATAATGATGGACAAAGAGATAGAAAAAATGAGTACTTGATAAGGAAGAAGGAAGCACAAGGTAAGAAGGAAGCAAACTAAAAAGAAAGCAATGATGAGGGGATTAGTGATTTCCTCATCAAACAACAAGAGAATTCAGAAACAGAAATGAGAGAGAAAAAAGAAGAAGAGAGAGGAACAAACAACACAATGATTGGTGTGATGCAAAAGTGGAAAGGAAGCCTGGACTAGATTTCGTGAGGTCACTGAAATCAATCTTGAGGAAGTGAGAGTTCGAAATGAGTTAGAGCTGACGCTACAGTCAGGTTAGAGAATTGGACATTACTTCGTCGAGTCTAGAGGATGGATCGTAGTCTTGAGGTGAGTCTTGAGTATGATCTTAAATTTGAGTCGAGAGTCTTGTCGATTCTGGGGATTGAATACAGGGAGAAGGAGTTCTTTTAACAGAATCCAATAACTCAACCCTAACCGGTTGACTTAGTTGCTGCGGATGTACTGAGATAGAAGGATGGGGTTTCACGAATACTAGAGCATGGTGACATGTTCCAATTAATTCAACATCGCGTACGGTTCAAAACTCAACACCCTTGCAATCCGAGTTGTGGTGTGCCTTCAAGTGCCAACGCTGCCACAGATACAATACGCTGTGTGTATCATGGAGAATTCTGCAAAGCTGCATGGCCAAAAACCAAATTTGTTGAATCTTCTTTCAAATAAAAGCAGATTGGTCAGATAGTTTTTTTTTATTGGGGCTCAGATACATAGTGATACATGGCAGATACGGGCAGATACCGTATCTGTGGCAGCGTTGCAAGTGCCCCCACCTGAGCCACATGAGTACATTTACCGTCTCACTGCGCTTCCTGTCCTCTCAGACTATCATTTCATCAGTTTACCTACATTGTAGTGATATTATATGACATTCTATAAGAATAACTATCAGAGAAAGGTAGGAAATAAGATGAGACACAAACCAGCTAGATAATAACTGAAAAATATGGCATAAATCAGAAAAAACAGCCATGATGTCACTCAGTCTGAAATGGAATATCAACCCCATAAAATTTTCTTCATTCAAGCCAGAATTCTCTACCTCATGAAATGCTTGATAATTCCAATCATATTTTCTGGTTATATTTTTTCATTTGATGATGCTCCCCCCTTTCTTTCTCTCCATCTCCATTATTTAACATGCATAAAAAAAAACCTTTCAAACGATTTGGTAAATCTAACTGGAAGGAATCCCTCCTGGCCTACATTTCAAGGTTTCTCTGTCATTTCCTTATAGTATAGTAATCCAGATTCTTTCATCAGCCTGTCCCATAGTAAGTCAAAAACCCAGTTTGCTATTCCAACTTGAGCTGAAATCTTCACCAGAAAGTGAAGTTTTATATCTATCCACAACCTCAGTTTGTTAAATCTTGCATAAAACCGCAGCACAGGATATCAAATCTTCAAAATGGCAGCTTTAACATCAAATTTGAAAAATAATTATCAAAAGACAAGTGAATTGTGTGAGATTGTCGGTCAAATAATCCAACCACCAAACTGCAAAGTTGGGAGGGCGCAGAGCCTCAAAACAGCTGTGGTGATCTCAGCAACAACAGCAATCAAGAGACAAACAACCTCATCAATCTTTACAAGATAGAAAAACAAGTAACCAATCTGTGGTCAACAACAAAGACCAAATCATAAGATCAACCAAAGACCATCTAGAAGGGATTACCAGAGAATCAGCAATAGCACTTGGTGATTGTCTAGAATAAAATGCTGATTTACACTGCAAGAGATTCAGCAATCTCAATGTGACTCAGAAAAACAATCACAGGCAATCTTCTCTGCTGTTTCATTTTCTTTCTCTCTCATTTTCATCTTGAATCTCATGAGAGTCCAAGCCCCTTCTCCAAAGTACATAAATTACTTCATGCCATCATTTCATTGTTATTTATGAATAAACATTATCTTAAGAAACACATCTCCTATAAGGTATTTGTGTTCTCTCAAATTGTTGCCTGAGGAAAGAATGAATGGATAGCCTGGTTCACGATAGCCAGCCATCAGCTAGCGATCCTCCAGCTGTCATCAGCAAATCATTCAAGTCCAACACTTCATTTCAACTCAACTCTCTACATGAACTCATGGGCTATTCAATTTGGGCTGGCGGTTGAACCAAAAGAGAGGCTGGCTGTGAGTTGGGCTCAACAGACAAACAGAGAAGAAACAATCTTCTGTAGATGTCTCTAGTGTCTCAAGATGTCCAGAAGGCTAAGGGTGAACTAGGGGAAGATGCCTAGATAGACAGCCCAGAATCCAAAAACAACACTCCAGATGTGTGGTACAAGAAGAAATTACTTGGATTAAGGTGTGCTCTGATGATGTATATAATATGAACATGATCTGTTGTCGGGGTCAAGAGGGTTCAAAGAAGTAGAGCAGATGGTAGGGTCTCCCTCACAACCGCAACACGATGGGACAGCTTGATAGCATGGAGCTCATAGCATAATGATCCCGAATGAAGAAACCGGTTTATCGACTCGGGGTTGCAAAAGAGCGTGCAGGAACCCGTCAGACGGGCTGATGTCGGTTGCCTCGGAGTCGAGCTGACCGGTCTCGGTGGCGAGCAGATGGAAAGGAGTGCTCTGAACGTGTTTCTGTGCTCGAGTTCCGCCCAGGCAACCAGCTATAAGGGCGGCTTGGCGAGGTCGGTGAAGTTGGTCACCGTTACCCGTTGCCGAGCTGGCTGTTGAATATCAATGCAACGTGTTGTGATGTGCAACCCTCTCGAAGGGTGCAGAGTGTTTGTATGAAACAGCTGGGCGAGGAAGGCTGTCGAAGTCTCTGAAACAGTCTTCGACAACTCTTGGCGAATATTCTGGAGCGAGTGGTGTGGAGGAGGCTGCTGCGGGGGTCGTCTGAGCCGGGCGCAGTGGCTGGGCTCCGCACTCCTGGATGGCCATCGATGTGGAGTCTTCCCCCTCCACGTCGACAGCCTGGCAGTCTTTTCGCTCCACGTAGTCCCTGCTGGTGTATCAACGAGGCCTCAAAAACACCCTCCCTCCCCTGCACCACCACCAGAAAAAAAAAAACAAAAACAAAACAGCAACTGAAGCCTCCTGGTGTGTTTCCTTGGCTTCCTCTCTGCGTTGGTGAGACTCGCTTTCCCTTCTTCCTCTTGATAATAATATAAATACTCCCCCCCCTCCTCCCCCATCCACCCTTCTCTCAGCTTCGTCTCACTCCCATCTCCTCTGACTCGGTTTCTTCTAATCTCAGGAATTATCATCTGGCTCTTTATCTTGCACAGTAGTCTATCACCCCCCCTCCACGCTTACATATCCATCCGTAACAAGTCTGTCCCACATCCCCTGCCTAGCCTGTCCCAAAGCTCTTATTAATTTCACTCAAGAACCCAAACTGATCGGATCTTCACTTTCTTTTTTGTCTGCTCTAGATTTTTTTTTTTCAGTTTTTCCGTGATATAACCCAACTCCATTGTTCAGATAGAAATCTCCTTTCCTGGTCTTCAGGTCCATACGAAAAAAACAGCAACAGCATGTCCCGAGCATCTTCCCCTAGGGGATTTGCCCTCAAATCGTGGGCCAAACCCAAATGGGCCAGCCTCGTCATGGTCGGAATCGCACTCGCCATGGGTGTGTCGGCTGATTCTAACCAAGCCGACCAGAACGTAAGTCCCTCTCCCATTTAACGCGAGTGGTCAATCTGGAATGAATTTGAAACTGATCAATAATTTTGGTAATTAATGTTTCAAGCTTGGAAGTGTGATCGGTATCGATCTTGGAACTACTTATTCTTGTGTGGGTGTTCAAGAGCGAGGTCGAGTCGAAATTCTGACTAATGACCAGGTCAGTCCTACCCGATCATCATTTTTACTTTCTTTGGAAAGACACTAACAAAATTTGCTATCACAGGGTAACCGAATCACTCCATCCTACGTGGCCTTCAACTCTGAAGGTGAGAGATTGATCGGAGACGCCGCCAAGAACCAGGCTGCCTCCAACCCAACCAAGTAAGTTATTCTTTGACACATGGTTCATTCCACACGATCACCCTTCGCCTAACTAGCTCATTTATCTCATCCAGCACGATCTACGATGCCAAGCGATTGATTGGCCGTAAATTCAACGACGCCGATGTCCAACGTGACATGAAACTGTACCCATTCAAGGTCGTCAAGAAGGGAGACAAACCCGTCCTTCAAGTCGAATTCAAGGGCGAGAAACGGACCTTCACTCCTGAAGAAATCTCCGCTATGGTCCTCGGTAAAATGAAGGAGACCGCCGAAGCCTACTTGGGCAAAAAAGTCACCCACGCCGTCGTTACCGTTCCCGCCTAGTACGTCACTTTACTCCCTTGTAACTACTTCTGTGTCACCTGTTTCGATTACTGTATTGACCCTCCAACCTTGCCCATACAGTTTCAATGACGCCCAGCGTCAAGCCACCAAGGATGCCGGTACGATCGCCGGTCTCAACGTTCTCCGAATCGTCAACGAACCGACGGCCGCAGCGATTGCCTACGGCCTCGACCGGACCAAGGGCGAGCACCAGATCATCGTCTACGACTTGGGAGGCGGAACCTTTGATGTCTCGCTCCTGTCGATCGACGAGGGTGTCTTCGAGGTCTTGGCTACCGCCGGTGACACCCATCTCGGAGGAGAGGACTTCGACAACCGAGTTATCGACTACTTCATCCAGCTCTGGAAGCGCAAACATAACGGCGAGGATATCACCACTAATCTCCGTACCATGGGCAAGCTGAAACGTGACGTCGAGAAACTCAAACGTACCCTCTCCAGCCAACAGTCCGCTCGCATCGAAATCGATAGCTTCTTTAACGGCAAAGACCTTTCCGAAACTCTTACCCGAGCTAAGTTCGAGGAGGTCAGTTGCTCAGCTCATACCACTTTCCAAACTTCCACGACACTGACAATCTACTGTTTTGTACTTCGCAGCTCAACATTGACCTGTTCCGAAAGACCATGAAACCCGTTGAACAAGTACTCAAGGATGCCAACGTTAAGAAGGATGTAAGTTATCATCATGCCCTGCCATCTGTCATACTCCAGCGACTCACATTTGCTGTCTTTTATTACTGAATTCCAGGCCATTCACGATGTCGTCTTAGTTGGTGGATCGACCCGTATCCCGAAAGTTCAGGAATTACTCAAAGACTACTTTGACGGTAAAGAGCCATCGAAGGGTATCAACCCCGATGAGGCTGTTGCCTTCGGTGCTGCCGTTCAGGGAGGAATCTTATCTGGTGAAGAAGGCAACGAGGACCTCGTTCTGATCGATGTCTGCCCCCTGACTCTGGGTATCGAGACCACCGGTGGTGTGATGACCAAGTTGATCGACCGAAACACCGTCGTGCCCACCAAGAAATCCCAGATCTTCTCGACCGGTTAGTGTTCTCACTTTTACCCTTCTTTCAAATAAGTGACTCAATCACTGACCTTCCTAATCCCCAATTAGCCTCTGACAACCAGCCTACCGTCTTGATCCAAGTCTACGAGGGTGAACGTACGATGACCAAGGACAACCACCAACTTGGCAAGTTCGAGCTCTCGGGCATTCCCCCGGCCCCCAAGGGTGTCCCTCAAGTCGAAGTCACCTTCGAGGTGGACGCCAACGGTATCATGAAAGTCTCGGCCGCTGACAAGGGCAGTGGGCGAGTTGAATCCATCACTATTGTAAGCTCTTCTTTGGTACATCTCCTATCCTTCGGTCAATGGTCGCTCATCCATTTTTTCGTGTACAGACTAATGACAAGGGCCGATTGAGTCAAGACGATATTGACCGAATGGTTAAGGAGGCCGCTGAGTTCGCCGACCAAGATGAAGCGCTGAAGAAGAAGATCGAATCGCGAAACGCATTTGAGAGTACGTCCACCAATTAGATACTGATACAATTCTTAAGATGGGGAAACTGATCTTGTTTTTTTTTTGTGATGATTTTTTAACAGACTTTATCTACACGATCAAGAACCAATTAGCTGACAAGGACGGGATGGGAGGCAAGCTAGAGGCCGAGGACAAGAAGACGATCCAAGCCGAGATCAAGAAGGCCCAGGAATGGATGGACATCAACACCACAACGGCCACCGCTGAAGAGTTCGACGAACAGCGCGAGGCCCTCCAGGCCGTTATCTCTCCCATCACCTCGAAGCTCTACGCTTCTGGTGGCGGCGAGGAACCGCTCGGATCTCATGACGAGTTGTAGAGATCTTTCTTCTCTCTTCTTCTACTCTTCCTCCACTCCCCCCCCCCTTATCTCTTAAAATCTTGCTCCTTATTGCAGGTCTCACTCTTCTCTTTTTCTTCGTTAAATAGATTGTTTTTTTTTTCTTTCTTTCTTAAGAGAATAAAAAAATGAAGTAAAGAACTGGCTGCTTTCAACTTTTTTTTCTTCTTCTTCCCAGAATATATGCACACCACTTTCATTATGTTTTACTTTTTTTTCTTTTTTTGAGTTTGTGAGGTGAATTTTTAGGATCTACTTTGTCTTATTCCTCCTTTTTTCTTTCTCTAGTTTGAAATCAATAAATGAAAAAAATCAAAAAAAAAATCAAATGAAATGGAAAGGAGTCAGACAAGCTCATGTTTATTGCAGTGTTGATATGGTGGCAGGGGTTATGGTGGCCCGGATAATATGGATCATTTGATTCTTTGGTCATGATGTACATATATAAGGCCTCGTTTGGCCGTCCATGATCGTCATAAACGATCATGGCAGATATATCGGGGGTGCACAGCATATGACGGGGGACGATGAACACGTTTGGCCGTCCACGTCATATCCACTCCCATATGACGGAAATGGACAGCGGGATATATCTCCCTGCCAAATCGAATATTTTGGGTCCCCCCCAAAATGTACCGTCATGAGAGCAGCTGATCGCTCTCCCCACCCTCCCATTTCCATCACAATCCCATCCCTCCATCCCCTCCTACCGGTGCCATGCCACCCCGTCCCTCCAAAAAACCACCCCGTCGTCCTAAACTTCCTTCTCGTCCACCCACTCCCCCTCCTTTTCCCTCTACCACTGGCTCTCAACCGTCTACTTCCTCTTCAAATTTGGTTGCAGCAGCTTCCCACAGTAGTATGCACATCAATAATATCCCTATGTCCGGATTACATCTTCAATCCGATGAACCATTCCGGGCTCCCCATTTACCGCCAATCTCACAGATGGATTGGGCCCCCAGCAAGACTCTTCCCCCGCTTAACGTTGCAGGTAGGGGAAGTTTCTATACCAGCTCGCACGGTTCTTACCCGGCAGCTTGGTCCCCCACCCCAAGCCCGACCAGTCAGCCACCGACGTTACCACTCAGTGGCACTCCAGTTCCAACCTCCACTCAACCTGATCCAGCTTTGGATCCAGCTGAATCCGACAAATCTGTGGAGACTACCCGACCCAAGACTCTTCATTGGACGGGTGCAATGGAGAAACTTGCTCTTCAGCTCTACTCTGATGCTGTCTTGGATGGAAAACGATCGGATGGGGGTTTCAAATCTGAAGTACATAACTTCGTGGTAACTAAGCTGAACGAACAGTTTCCTGGGTACGACTTCACCCCTGCCAAATGTAAATCAAAGCTCAGCCAGGTCAGTTTTTTGTATTCTTGTAATCTTCAAGCCTTTAATGCTCACCTTGAATGTTGAATGTTGTAACAGTCGTTCAAGAAAGAATATGAAGCTTTTAACACCTGTCGCCACACAAGTGGTTTTGGATGGGATGATGTTCGATGCGAGGTCACGGCTTCAAACGAAGTGTGGGAGAGCTTCCTGAAAGTGAGTTGCACACGGTGTCTTTTCACACTTCCAAAATGGATTCTGACTGTTTTTTACAGTCTCACCCGCAAGCACGACGGTTCCGCAACCAGCCATTCCCAGAATGGGAACAACTCAACATCATCTTCGGTTCAACTGCAAAAGGAGACCTCGCGAAGACTCTGACCCAGCGTGCAAGGGAAGGCGGTGGCCGAGACCCGGCTAATAACGACAGCTCAAGCTCAGACGATGACAATGCAGAGGACAAAGATCGCCGTAAGCCTCCTGCACGAAAACGGATTCGCCAAACCACCGGAGCCGCATTTAGCAGTGCCATCCACGATCTCATCGACGCTTTTGCCCCAAAGGAATCAAGCCCTCGAACCAATGCTGTAGAAGACCAGTCGCCCGAGGGTCATCAAAAGCCCAAGCATCAAACCGACGATGAGGCCGTGACTGACGCGGTTGCCTTGTTTCAAACGACAATGGCCCCTCAGCTTGCGTGGTCAGATGTAGTCATCGGCTTTAGTGTCCTCGAAAAACCATCCAAGGCACGAATGTACCTCCGACTTGAGGCCCAATACAAGGACCAATGGCTCTCGTACGAAATCAAGAAAGAAGGCCCAATGATCTGACTGATGAAAATCTTAGTCTTACCACAGTTTCTCTAGTGCTTATCTAGTCTTACCTAAACATCGATCACAATCACTGATCCCTTAGCTTATTTAGTTATGCCCCACCTAAACACTGAAACATGACCGAGACTGTTCCCTTGATGTATCCAATTTTTATTATACCTATGAAAATTGATCGCTTGCTTGTGCCTCACACTTATGTCTATATCCTGCCGTGGTTCCAACACAGTCAAGAAGACTGCTGATATGTACATCAAGCATGTACCTGTTTTATGATTCAATCTCCCTTATCGTTCCCAACAGTTTGGGTCTATTCTACTCAGACACGGCTATGTAATGCATTACCCACATGTGCTCGATTTATATCGCAACATCTTTGGCATTTTTGGCCACATATTGCCTGGTAATGTCATCCATTAACTACGGACAACGTATGGCAACATGAAGAAAAGCAACTGATGGGATCGCACAACTGATATTGTGCCAAATTGTGGTCATAAGCACGGAGAGCTTGGTTTTTTTTGACTTGGGTAAGGCTACAAATTCGTTGGATCAGACCGATCATCTTATACAAAGTCAGGGAGGGGGGTATGAAAATGATGATTTTATGGTAAATTGTGTTATCGGTATGCTGACAAATGATTCAAGGTAGGTAACTACATAGACCCAGAAAAGAAGCGGTTAAAATGATTCTGTTTCTTATCAGATAAAGACCGAGGTATTTATTGAGCCCGGCGTGCAAGCCGAGAAGAACGCACTGATCGGACACCTCGGGAACCTCGTTGTTGGAGAACTTGTTGGTATTGCTGCCACATCGACTCCGCAATACCATCTCGCCATTCACGAAGTGCCTCTTTCTCGCGATTGGTGAGGTTGGTGGGCGCAGCCACAGAATTACTGGAGTCGTTCACGCTTTCATCCAAAGCAGCGGCTAGTTCGGCCGCAGTGACATCGAAGAAATCATCGTTATCGACCCCGGAGTGATCAATCGAAAAGTTATGAACAACGGCCAATGCAAAAACAATATCACGTTGCGTGCTAATATTGTAATCAAGCGGGTTGGTGAGGATTGGGAAACGTTTTTTCCAAGCGCCGAACGTCCTCTCAACCACGTTGCGCAAAGAGGAATGGCGCAAATTAAATAATTCCTCCTTTGTCGAAGGCCTGTAGGTACTCATAACCAATCATCAGACTCACAGTGCATTGCATCACATGATGTAAGGAAAAGCACCTTACCTTTGATTTGCTGCCGCTTGCTCGCGCAAGTGATACCGGACCCCGCGATACGGCACCAGAACACCAGGGGCTAGTGCGTATCCTGCATCGGCCAAGTAAAACGAGCCAGGTGGGATGGTGAAGTCGGTTGCGCGCGCATGAGCCAACACCCTCGCATCGTGAGCAGATCCCTCCCATCCAGCGCAAAGGTAGGTGAAGCGCATGTTGAAATCCACGACAGCCAAGACGTTCTGGGATAAGAATCCCTTGCGATTTCGGTAGGGAGCTGACATCTCCTCGGGCACCTTTGCAGGCACATGAACCCCATCAAATGCACCCAAGCATGCATTGAAAAACGGACTATACTTTTCGTTTTCGAAGATTGACGGATGAGTGATGCCAACGGCCGCCGGTTTGATGTACAATGGAGCCAGTTGAAGAAGGAGGCCCACCACATGGTGGAAAACTCGCCAGATCGTCTCGCCGCTATGTTGGAAACGATCTTGAGCCAGTCGGTTGGTCGCTTTTTGACCAACTATATACATAAAAATCGCCAGCTGTTCTTCCATTGCGAGGGCTTGGGAAACTGGCTCGACATCGAGTTGTGAGAGCTTCATCGCAAGCAATTGAAAGGTTTCGTTGTTTAAGCGAAACATTGTCCTGCAACGTTGTGGATTTCCACGCAAAATAAAATCTACGTAGCGAGCACCAGTAAGGGAGGAGTTGTTGTATGGAGTCTTGATCGATTTAGACCACTCGTAGAGTGTGGTAAGAATAACGACAATAATTATAATCTTGATAACTACGCGCAGTTGTTCGTCTTGGAATCTGGGGTGGACTCGGATTTTTGACAGGTCTCGTGGAGGATTGGGAGGGGGGGAAGACATTGCACCAACAAGCAGTTGTTGGGTCAGGTCACTGGGGCTCAAAGTGCTTGCACGGCTTCAGTTAAGCAGCCAACTCCTGGGGTGCGCCAAACACTCCAGGATGAGGTTTTCAGTTTACGATGTGTGCCAAACGGCCACATCAATATAAGAGAAGAATTTTCAGGCGCCGTCATATGCACAGCCAGGAAAATCCAATCCAGGATTTGCATATGACGATTTGCGCTCACGATCTATTACGATCGTGGACGGCCAAACGAGGCCTAAGTTTACAAAACCCTGCTTGGTTTTTTGGAATATCATCAAGAACACAGAAGGCAGGCTGTTTTTTTGGAATGATTGAGAGCACAGCTTCTCTCACTTTGGGTTCACACAATTGGCTCCTACAGGTTGGTTCTACATCATCGTTAGAGCATCTCCAACGGTCCTGCTGATGCGGGACCTGGGACCGACTTCAGCGGGCCGCGAGGCTCTTTTGGTCGCTAGTGCTGCCGAGCGAGCTGCTGAACATCGCGGGGGTGGACCAAAGCTGCCCTCGGCTGCTGAGTTTGGCAGCTTTGGCCGCGTTTCACCCACCCCCGCTCAACTTCACAGTCCGCATTTAGGACAACTGTGACAAGCAGGTGACACCTCGGGACATGTGATATATCTTGTGGACTCATTGGATGTAGGTTTAGTATATAGTATACACCCTGCAGACTATGTGACATGTGTGTGCCACAAAAACACTCGTATTCTGGAATCTAAATACTTCTACAGCCAAACCGAGAAAGCTTGCGTCTCGGTTGGCAGAAGATTCAGAAAAAAATAAAAAAAATCCGGACTGCAGTCGGAATCTTCGGAAGAATACAGCCATCGTACAGGTTCCAACATACCTGCCGGTAGCGGCGACAGGACCGCACCGGACCCAACCAGCCAGCCCTAGGGGGGCAGGGGCATGGGTGGCCATCATGTCAATGGTCCGGTTTGACTAAAATTTCCCTCAGGATCCTGATGGTCTTACTCTCATGACCTGGAACTGAAGGAGAAAAAAGATAGGGATTTTACCCTGAAGTAACCCCTGTATGCGAATGGGCATACAGGGTGCTGTATTCTTCCAAAAATTCCGACTGCAGTCGGTTTTTTTTTTTTTTTTTTGAATCTTCCGCCAACCGAGACGCAAGCTTTCTCGGTTTGGCTGTATATCTTTCCTTTCATAAAAAAACTCACTCTTTATATTGACGTGGCTCCTTGTAACTATAGTTTATACATACTCATCCTAGGTTTTGGTGTTGCAGGACTCTTTTCAATCGCAAGTGTGCTTTCTCCTTTGAATATAAGAAAAAAAGAGGGCAGAGAAGTTCAATTCTCTCAATTCACCATTATAATAATCTTGAAGAGAAACAAAAAAAAGGATGAAGATGACTAGGGTGAGGGACACAATAATGGTGTGTATACAACAAGCTGGATGAGATGAAATGAAATGGAATGGAATGATGGGAAAATCATACCAGGGGAAAGGTTAATTACAGTCGACTTTGGAGGTAACTCATTTGAGAGTGGAGAAGACCTTCCTCTTCATCTGTGTTGTCTTCGGAAACACCAATCAATATTTTTTCCCCCCCCCCCAAAGTCAACAAGTTGGATTGCGACTATGTAGTTAAGATTCCAAGAAAGAATCTTGCAAGGTTTCTTGATTATAGGATATACACCAAATTTTATAGACAACAATGAGAACTTAACTTATGTAGAAGGGAGGAGAGAGAGATCTGAATAGATAGATAAGTGAATATGTATAAGATCAGGAATCCGAAAGAAAACTCCTGGTGGATTTGGTTGAATGAAAAGAACACATCATGTACTCCGAAGCTCTAAGCAGCACCAGTGTTGAGCTGATGATGCAAATGGCCGAGTGGTGCTGGCCGGGAGACAGGGTGTGTTGTGGTGCAGTGATGAGTAGCCGAGTTGCGAGCTGATGAGCTGACGATCCGAGGAGGGCAATGAGTGGTGCTGGCCGGGTGCTGTTGGTTTCGATGTGAGGTATATATTGTTGATGGCGATGTGGCCAGGGTGTCGACTGGGCTGGAAGAGGTGTGCATTGGGATGAGGGACTTGGGAGATGAATTCGACACTCCGCGGTTCATGGGGCCTCGCCCTAGTCAACCCCAAAGCTTGTTGAGATTTTGAAAGCTTCGTGAAGCATTTTGGTCACCTGTTAGTGGTTGTAGCTGATGGGGAACCACGCCGGTTCCTTCCCCCTGCCTATAGGGTATGGCGCAAGTTTAGACAGCGGATGACGGGGACAGGGGCCAGGCGCCCGGCGGTGTGGGGCGTGTGACGGGCCGGGACCGTTGTCTATGTACCGTACATACTCGGCGGTTCTGGAATGGATCTGTTGTGGAAAAGACTCGAAGCCGGTCGAAGCCGCGAAGAAGCCTTCGACCGCTTCCTACTGTAACTGTATTCATCTCGAACGGTCTCGAATCCCCTCACCTCTCTTCACACTCTTCTAGCTCATCTCATGGGCACCGGGCTTTCTCCAGCTCAACCAAAGAATATAAAACGAGCCCATCGATGGCTGTTGGAGTTGTTTCCTCAGCGAATCAACCGACTTGATTTGAGAAACCAGCTAGAACAACACCCAAACACACACACACACACACACACCTAACGACCGACGGTAAAAAAAGAACGAAAATGTCTTTCCTCATCGCACCTAGCCAATGGGATGACTTTGAGCAACTCTTCGACAAGCTGGTCACTGACCGCTACGGGCCGCCTTCTTCGGACCGGGCCTGCAAAGGCACGACTAAGACGCTCGACAGTAGTACGGGCTCCCATAGGGTGAGCAGGATCCAGCGTCCCAAGATGGATGTCGTAGAGACCGATGGCTCGATCGTCGTCACCACCGAGTTGCCGGGCGCTAAGAAAGGTGAGCTATTCATTCTTCTTCCTGCTGTTTTGTCGAAGTATCATATCTTCAGGCTCAATTAATACCACCTGATCTTCTGCCGGTCTCTCCAGAGGACATCTCTATTGACCTCCAGAACGGACGTTTGTCTATCAGCGGCCACACCAAAGCCTCGAGCGAGCATTCCGAGGGCAGTGTCAGAGTAGGTTATGGCTCCTCTTTATAAATCACTTCTTTTTTTTTCAAATCTCCACTTGACAAAAAAGGCATGGGCCTTGACTGACTCTCTGCATTTGTCCCAATATTTCAGGTTTCCGAGAGATCATTCGGCTCCTTCAGTCGCTCCATCGCCGTCCCACCGGGCCTCACCCACGACCAGGTCAAGGCTGGCTTCAAGGACGGCGTGCTCGAAGTCACTATGCCTAAGACCGTCCCTAACAAGGAATCGCACTGCATCCCGATTGCTTAGTCCGTTCCTCCTCCTTCTTCCCGGTCTCTCTTTCTTCTTCAAATCAATCAGTTGAAATGTACCTTTGTCTCCTCAACTTAATTCACCTCATCATCATTTTTGTTGTTGTTGGATATAATCTTTCTGCCCATTGTTTCTTGCTTGACTTTCTTCCCTATCCGTCTTTTTTGTTTGTTTGAGTATCTTTGAGCGCTCTTGAATCTACATACCCATTTCCTCATCAATAAAAAATGTTCAGGAATAATCCATCTGTGGATGTCTTAGTCGAAAGCTCTTTAGAGAACACATCCCATAACTTTTCGAGGGTATCGTAAAAAAGATTGGGATTATTTAAATCAACCTTATGCTTGATATTGAGAATCCCTGTATCCTTCTGGAGCTTTGAGTTTTGATACAGAACAAAGCCACAGTCAATCAAGCGCTCGGTGCTGGATTGACTTGAAAGGGATACAGAATGTTTAGAGGAAGAGGACTGAGGCTTCTTCTTTGGATAAGGAGATGTAGACGGGTTTTTTTTACGTTTGGATTTAATAGCCTCTTCAAAGAACTGTCTTGAGGTGGATGGAAGGGATAAACTTCTACTAGGAAATTGGGATTCAGAGCAGTTCCACCGCAGACCCTAATTCCGGGCCGTTAAAATTTGAAATTTGAGAATGCGCAGCTGCCTTTACGGCCTCAAACCGCTGCGGCATACACCGCAAATTGAAAAATTAGACTGTAAAAATTGATGAAAGGTAATTCCCCGGCATTCCCCCTTGTACCCCCTGATCTCCCCATGCACAAAGGGCCAATCTAGCCTTGATTCAACGATTCGACAACCTACTCCACCTAATGGATCGTCTTTCCATTATTCAAAACATTATGAATGAACAAAATTCGATTCTTCTCAACAACACACAATTAATTTCGGTAATACTTCCAGGCGGAGCGGCAATTACTCAAGAAATAATCCGACAAGAAAGCAAAAAACGAGTCAAGGAACCACCAAAACGAGGCGGATCGAGAAAAGGGCGAGCACCAAATCTTCGACGTGACTTTGAAGCAGGCTACCAACGGCTCTATAAAGACTATTTTTCCAATTCACCTATCTACACCGACTATCTATTTCGACGGCGGTTCCGGATGCATAGAGCTCTTTTCTTGAAGATTGTTCAAGACGTTGAACAACACGACGATTATTTCTCTCACAAGAATGACGCATTGGGGAATCCAGGCTTACGAGGCATTCAAAAGATAACTTCTTCTCTTCGAGTCTTGGCGTATGGCGGCTCATTCGATTCAAATGATGAATATATTCGCATTGGGGAATCGACTGCCGCCAAAAGTTTGTATCGATTCTGTAACGCAGTGATCGACTTGTACAGCGCCGAGTATCTGCGATCACCAAACAAGAGCGATGTTAAAAAATTATTGGCCGTTGGAAAGGCTCGAGGCTTCCCAGGCATGCTTGGCTCAATTGATTGCATGCATTGGGAATGGAAAAACTGTCCAACTGCATGGCATGGACAGTACCAGGGAAAGGAAAAAGTTGGTTGATCTCTCTTGATGATTTCATTTTCTAATCACTCAAAGATTTTATTGTTATTTTTTTAACTAAAGGTTCCAACTATAGTATTGGAGGCGGTTGCCTCATATGACCTATGGATTTGGCATGCGTTTTTCGGAATGCCAGGATCCAACAACGACATCAATGTTCTCGATTCTTCTCCGGTTTTCTCTGATTTGATGAACGGCATCACCCCTCGATGCGAATACACGGTCAACGGCAAGGCGTATCACCAAGGATATTACCTAGCCGATGGGATATACCCCGATTACTCAACACTCATCAAGACAATTTCTCAGCCGCAAGGGCTAGAAAGACAGGTAAGTAAATCTGATTTTTATTTTTTATTTCAGTTGCATTGACTCTAATCTTTCTGGCAGCATTTTGCAAAGATGCAGGAGGCCGCGCGAAAGGACGTGGAAAGGGCGTTTGGGGTCCTTCAGGCCCGATTTGCAATAGTCGCTCGACCGGCACTATCATGGAGTGCCAAGAAGCTACACTTGGTCATGAAGACGTGTATCATCCTCCACAATATGATTGTGGAGGATGAGCGAAATGAGAACCTCGATCACATCTATGATACAAACACATCATCGACGCGGAACATTTCTTCTCAGCTCATCAACCCAATTGCAAGCCGTCGCGCGGATTTCTCGGCATTTGTTTCAAACATACAACAAATCAGGAATCCTGATTTGCATTTTGCTTTGCGGAACGATCTGATCGCTCATTTGTGGGCACGGAAAGGGAAAGAGATCATCTCAGAGAATGATGACCGTTAATCATGTTGTCCATTTTTTGTGCTTGTTTTTATTTTTTGAAGTAACATGCAATTTACTCTTAATGACTTATTGAAATCTTATGGTTGGGCCAAAAAATTTGCGTGACAATTTCTCTCTCACTGAGAAAAGAAATTGAGTAGGATTTAACTGATTTATTTCAGTGAGCAAACACACTTGAGCAACAAATTTATTCTTATTGATTTCATGAACCATTTCAGTGAAAAAAAAAAGTTTGAGTAATTGTTTTTATTGATTTGTTAATCATTTCAGTGAAATAAAGAGGTTTGAGTAACAAAATCAAGTTTGAGTATCAATATTGAGGGGGTAGATTCATCAAGCAAAATCAAATAGTAATCGGTGAGAGAGAAATGGGTGCTAGGTGCTCGGAGCTGCTGGGGCTGACTCTGACACCTCCTTCTCAAGACGAGCTAAAATTTTCTTTCGTTGAAGAGAATAGTATCTCCTAACGTCTTCATCGGCCCCAGTGAGATCTTTGCTCATGATCGCTTCATCGGCAAGGCGTTCAAGAGCGGACTGTTGAGCTGAGATTGCGTTTTTTTGATTTTTGACCGCCTCCGCTATGTCGACATGCGCACCGGCCATCTTCTTGAGATGTTCGTGATTAGACGCATCGAGCTTCTCTTCTTGATAAGCAATTTTCGCCTTTTTGCGACCGATTGGACGAGTCGGCTCTTGTTGAGTACTCTCGTCTTCAGAAGCTTCTGATGTTCCGCGGGTGGTATCAGCAGGAGTCGAGCTGGGTAAGAAGCCAGGTAAAGGGCTTGACGGATTCGGATTTGTCGCCTTTTTGACCTCGTGTTTCTTATCCATAGAGATATTGTATTCATGCCACTTCGGCGAAGTTGAGAGGAGATTATAACAGCACATATATGTGAAAGGTTTATCGTGAAGTTGGGTGAACAAGCTGAGGGCCATACTGATCCGATTGGTGGCAGTCGTACCGCTCGGATTCCTGTGGTTGATCTGATTGACACAACCATGGAATTTGTTCAGAGCGTGTTGTATAAGGCCCCAACGACCTTTGATGCTTCGAATTGATCGCTTGGGGTCGGTGATCTTCGAGTGATAGTGGCTTGTGACCGTTCCCCAAAAAGCCTTGCCAGTCTGATCGGTACCTTTCCTTCCATCCTCAGTTGTCTCAAGCCACGAAGTACAAAGCTGGAGATCCTCGTGTTCTTGATAGTTGGGAGCGCGGGATTTTTTTTCGCCTTCTTCGTCCTCCGAATCACTGTCGTCAGCGCCAGCTTCACTTTGGCTCGCTTGGTTGGGAACGGGTTCAATTGTCTTCGGAGTTTGGGCTGCCTTTGGAGTTTCAGCCGCAATCGGAGTGTCAATCACGTTTGGAGTTTGAACCGCTTTCGGAGTCGCATTCGCTTTCGGAGTCTCTTTTTTTTTGTTCTTCACCACTTTTTTGGGCTTGGGCTTGACAGTCTTTTTTGTTGGATTCTTTGGGGTTGGAGCATTGCTAGACGGAGTATCTGAAACCCAAAAAACAACGGTAAGCTAAGGTTCCAAAAACAAGAAACGTTATGACTGACCATCTGTGGTAGACATGTTCCTTTTTCTGGTTGTTGTTTGTGGAGCCGACACCATTTCTATTTCGGTTGAGTCTGGTAAAAGAATCCCGGAAGACGTCAGGATAAAACTTGCTCAAATGCAGCAGGATAGTAATTACCTTTGTTGGTTCTTGGCATGAGTGCTTGAAGTGAAGGATCGATCATGATCAGATGTATTGAGGGATATCGGTTGATATATGTAGAGCTGGATATGATGATATGGACAGGGGATCAAGATCGGGGGTGTTGATTGAAGGGATGAAGCCAACTTTCACAATGCTTGAACTTGTGAAAGTCGATTTTGTTGGAGATGGGCGAGGCCGTAGGAGTCCCTACATCTGAGGACTCTTGAGCAGATTTTAGGGACTGCCGTAAATTATAGGGACCGCGGTGGGCTGTGTTGAGTCCGTAAATTCCACCTACGGCCCCGATTTACGGCCCGCGGTGGAGTTGCTCTTAGTTAGTAAGAAATGACAAAGCAGTACATGAAACAGACCAAGGAGACCAAGGAAAAGGCTAGCTGGAAATTCTTCCGAGACTGGTGCACAACAAGTGGCTTCGAAAATTTTCTGCTCCTAAACATCCTCATATCTATCCGTAAGCACTAAGAATTACAATAAGGATACATTGGAATTCATTTGCTTTGGGGGCATTTGACACTTGGGCCGCTGAGTTCATTTCCTTTCAGCTACTCGGCCACGAAACAAACTCATTTGAAGCACCGTTCTTGCCATCATCTTTCGAATATTGGTTGTGCGCTGAGATTATTCGATTACTGAGGATGAAAACCCGATCACAGTCCACCAAAAACTCTCTGTCTCAACTTCCAGTCGAGATCAAAAGCCTCATCGTTGAACAAACTGCACTTGTGACAGAGAAATCATACCCCGGGAGTCAGAAATTCTTGAAGCTTGCCCTGGTAGATCGAAGCTTTCATAAGCTTTGTAGTCCGACCAATTGGAAGGTATGTTCCCCATTATTCTTTATACACGTTCCCGCTCGAGTATCTCCTTGTGCAACTTGACACTCTTTGGCGTTTCCTTTGAAAATCAGAAGAGCCTTGCGGAGTCAGTTCTTAATTTTGGTTACATTTTTTTTTTTTGGTTTAGGAGCTCAACCTGCGATGCTATGGCAAATATAGGCTTAGGGTTCTGATCAATGAAATTCTACATGAGCAAGCAAAACATGTGCAATCAATTGGTATGGGACTCCATCCCGACGGGGTTCCAAACCAGAAAGATGACGCGAGTGATTCAGAAACGATCGATAGCTCAAGCGACTCAACATCGATTGACAGTGATGATGAATTCCCTGAAGAAGAATTATGTTACATCTTGGAAATTTGCACGAACTTGAGCAAGATGGAGATACGCTATGAACCGACTTCACTCGACGAGTTTGGCAACTTTATCATCGACCCTTTGCGCCCAATAACGATGATGACGCCCTTCATATCTCAGCTTTCCAATTTAACTCACATCAAACTGGACAATTACAGCGACAATGGAACTTACTCCAGCGAAGAGTCCTTGGTCAAATTACTTGGAAAAATGGTCCATCTGGTTTACATTCGCGTGGATTTCATCAAGGCCTCCTTTCCAACTTGCGATCTCTGCGAGTGTCCACAATCCGTCCAACCCTCGGTGTCGCCACTTGGTGTTCACTTGGCTTCACTGCCATCTCTTAAAGTTATCGTATTCTCTCGTGCCGATTGCTTTAATTCAGACTGGAGCAAACTCGATTGGAAAGGGGAACTTGAAGAATTAACACTGCACTGTTGCTACGACGTTTCTTTACGCGCCCTGCATGGCTTCTGCAGCCTCTTGAAGAACAGTCTGGTTAAGCTTTCCCTCTACTTCGTTCCCGTCAGCTTCTCAGACGACAATCTCACCCACATCCTACCCGAATCGGAGCGGACCTTGCTATTTCGTCTGCCAAAGCTTCAGAATCTATCGATTTTCAACCTTTATTCAGCCGAATTTCTCAAATTATTCCGGGAGTCTGTTAACATCAACCGGATCAATTTGAAAAGCACTCCGGAGATCTGCTTAGAAGATCTTAAACAGCTCATGAATCATGAGGATCCGGTGTGGAGTCGATTGAAGACGTTTGTGTTGTGTGAAGATAAGGAGTTCATCGAACCTGACGAATTGCCCACGCCTGAGCAAATTTCAAATCTCATAGCTCATGGTGCCAAAGCCGGCGTCAAGGTGGAATACGGCTTTGTGGGGAACACGAGGGACCGGAGTTGGTTGAATGATGGGGAAGATGAATGGAGGTTTGAAGAGGAGATAGAGGAAAGGGAAAAACACGACAGAGAATGCATGGAGGAATACTGGTCAAGATCTGTGCAGGGTCGCTCAATGTCAATTTAGAGGCGTAAAACCAAAATTCCCCTGAAAAAAGTTGGTTTTTTTGCGTCAAATTGAAAACTTCAAGGGCTCCAGATCCAAGGAGAAGTCCTTCATTATTCATATTAGAATAACAATTTTACATAGAAACAACATTATAATAACCAAGCCAAGAATCACTAAGGCCAGGTCTTATATATTTACTTGTTTAGTAGGAGGGATTCTTTTCATCTGTTTGACTTCATTTATTTCTTTGTAAATTTTTGGCTGAGATGATTAGTAGAAGTTAGTATGGGTTCCAAATTATTATTATTATTTGTGTGATAGTGGAATTGAGAGTTGAGAAATAAACAAGAGCCAAAATCAATCTTCTCTACTAGATTGTGTCAAAAAACTAATAAGAAACGTGAATAGCTAAAAAAAGTCTTTCTGCTGGGATTTTGATGCATCCAAAGAGGGAAGATCAATGTTTTTGGTTTGATCCAATCCAAATACTTAGTCTTTCAAATCCCTGTTGTAGTCCTACAGTATCAATTTCAAAACACATTTCTGACATCAGAAATGATGGAAGAAATTGAAGGCATGAAAGCTTACCACACAGCAAACTTGAATTCAATGTTGATGGAATCACAGCCAGCTGTACCACCTGAGGCTTCCATCAACAATGGGCCAGGTTGCCAGTTACATTAACAGCAGCATTAGAATGGCTTAGAACATCTACACCATATGGGACTACCCAAGTGCACAAATTCCAAACTAGCATGGCTGCGGTACACTTTTTGTCCCTGCCAAATTTCCATCTTCACACCTGGAAAATCACCCCTAGACCTTGTTTGATGTGATCACAAAAAAAATCATAAACAAATTTCTTGACCAAATTCAAAGTTCAAACATTTCCAAGGCCATGAAACTTGATCCCACTATACTCCACATCCTTGTTTGGCAACATCAACTCATGTTGAGGAAAAAGTTGGAAATAAATGCTGTTGTGGAGGTTAGAGCCTTGATAGTTGATGAAGACAACAGATATAGGTAGGTAGAAACAAGCAGTGAGAACAACAAGCGTGAATGAAGCAAAAAGTGAGAAGACATACTGCAGTCAGTTTCATCAATGCATCATCCATCCTTTCATCATTGGGTTTGCAGTTGGGATTCATGTTGGTTGATGTCTCTGTGATTGTTTGAGAGGTGTGATTGTCTGTACTGTAGTGATGCAGCATTGAGGGGGATAAATGTAGTGTAGGGGGTGTGGATGTCACAAGATCAATGGTGATGCCTATACCATCCTAAATTTAGGTTAACTATAGGCCTAGAGATGGCCCCGTGCCATCTGGATATCCCCTCTGTTTTTCAGTGGAAGGGGGCATCCGCATCCGCACCCGTTGGCGGGTATCTGTCGGCCGCAGCAGGTATCTGAGTGGGTATCCATGGATACCTGCCCATTAAATCAGAGGCAAGGCAGCCAGCTGGAGGGGTTCCTTCCAGTCAGCAAGGTACATGTACCTTCCCGGCTGGAAGGGTTTCCTTCCAGTCAACGAGGTGCATGTACCTTGTAAACTGGAAGAAATTCCTTCCAGCCGGGCAAGGCAACTTCCTTCCAGTCAACAAGGTACATGTACCTTGTTGACCGGAAGGACTTCCTTGCAGCCGGCCATCTCCTCCTTCCGGCCTTGGGTATCCTTGGGGATACCCGGATATCTGTCAGGATTTCACGGAAAAGGGAGAATCCGCTGGCGGGTATCCACCAGCGGACAATGGGTATCCACAACAGATATCCAGAGACCATCTCTAGATTTTCCAGATGTAGAACCTCATTTAGTACCTTTGGTGGAGGGGTTAAATTGGGATTAGTCCCGCAATTGGAGATGGTCTTAGTGCAGCAGAACTCTGCTAAAATTTATTCCCCTATTGGTAGCGTCACAAATTTAGGTGTAACAAAGCCTGATTAATTCAACAAAAATAAACCATTATGAAATATGTAATAAAATTGCTACTTAGGAACTTTCAAATACTGGTTTCATTAATGCTTCAAAAAAAAAGGAAAATTGATATCTTAGGCCATCTTGAGCTCCATAACATCAATATAACACTTTATGTGGGTAAAGAGTGTAATATATTGGTGTTATGGTGCTGAAGGTAGCCCATTATCTCAATATTTTTGAGTGCTTTATTTGAAGAAATCTAGATTTATTGCCAAAAAACATAACCAGACTGAGAACAAGAAAATAATCCAGGAAAAAAATAAAATAAAAAACAATATGAATAATAAAGAGAAGGAATAATAGAAGGGGGTGAAAAATGACTCCCAAAAAATTGCCAACAACTCCCATTTTGCTTGACGGGTCATTGGGCGGGAGTTGTTCCTCCAAATCAATGGCTGACTTTGGAAGTCGGCCATCAAATTATTTTTTATTTCAGGGAGTCGGCGCCCCAAACCACCCCTCATGCTTGAGGGGGTTTGGGAGTTGTTGCTTCCATGACCGGAAGGATTTCCTTCCGGTTGAGAAGAAACAAAAATCTCATTGACCAGAAGGGATTCCTTCCGTTCAATGAGGTATAACAACCTCATCGTCCAGAAGGGATTCCTTCTGGTTGATGAGGTATAACATCCTCATTGACAGAAGGAATCCCTTCCAATCAATGAGGTATAACAACCTCATCGGCCGGAAGGGATTCCTTCCGTCAATGAGATATAACGACCTCATCGGCTGGAAGGGATTCCTTCCGATGATGAGGTATAACATCCTCATCGACGGAAAGA